TGTGGATTCACTGCTATATTATTTGTAGAATTACGTTGAGACCCAAATCGATTAGAGAATATATACTTAACATCCGAAATGCAATTAATTTTGAATATGCATTCCAATTATACGGTTTTGTAAATTTATTTTTACTTCAAATGATGACTCAAAAGGTTCTTCAATACCCCGTAAATATCAGTTTGTAAATAAAACAAAAACGTGGACAGGGCTAGAATTTATCATAAAGATATTACTACAATGAATAGTTAGAAAATATTAATACAACATCTATGGAAATAATGTCTTAGCCTTAGCTTCTTTATCCCCCATGTCATAGACTATCTATCTTTCACAAACAATTGTTGCTTCAAAAGTTACAAACATTTCTGCTCCCCTCAAGACTCAAACTCCAACACTTACACGATAGTCTTACGATAGTTTTACAGCAACAGTAACGTTAAAGATTAGTTATACAGCAACAGTAATTGTTTTCAGTAACAGATTTTGTGAGCTATTGATTCAGCAGGGAGTTGCATAATGGAAAAGGAAGGGCATGAAGAGGCATCTTAATAACATAACAGTCTCAATAATATCACAAGGTCACTGGTTTTGCTCGCTTTTATTTTTAACCAGAGAAAGCTTCAATATACAAGGGTAGCTTCCTGTGAGCACAAACCATTTCCTCCTAATGATGCGTTCAAACGATATACGTAGAGATTGCTTTCTTAATTTCTTTAACAGTATTATATTACTGCAGGCTGAACCTGCTCTATTGAGCCTAAGCTGATGCTCGAGCCTCTGGCGTGCTATCTTGAAATCCACAAGCCAAGTTTGCTGGCACCGCTACATCAATCATCTTTGGGTATGCCAGGTTCAAATCTAGAGGGGGGGGAAGCCATTTCTGTGTTAGATATTCTCAATTGTAGATATTAAAATTTGGTAGAATAAGACTCGGAATGGTAAAATGACTCACTTTTCATGATACTTGTGAAGGTTTCCTGCAAAATATATAAGAGACGAGTTAGAAAGCAAAATTTACCCTTCAATTAATAAGAGATACAAGCAATTAATGTAAGATGATAAGATATGAAGATCGCAAAAAATAATGACTTCTGAATTATTTTGCTTTTTGTACAAGTATTATATAAAGGCCCCTTTAATATAAAAGTACAACGTTTTTATGCTTATGGACTTGTACAATACTCAAGTGAATAATCATATACACTACTATAATGACAGGCTCTGTCGAGGAATTACCTCATCCTTTGTTAGCCGAGGGTTGAGAATCATCTCCTCTCCAACTGTGCTGACCTGCACGAACATGATGTATGTTTGAATTAAGCAGAAACTGGGGGAAAGTTCACAAAGTTTAAAAGAAATAACAGTTGCTTACTGTGAATCCTTTATAGTCATGAGCAGGGTATATTAGAGTATCCTTTGGCAATGCGAATATCTGTTCACCAAAATAAAAAGAAAAAGAAAAAGAAAAATAGTTAGATAATACTCCTATGTATATGATTTTGAAAATGTTTTTGCAAATTTCATCTACTTGCCTGAGAATGCACTGATTGATAAAGTTGATGTGAACTTCCTCCCTGTTGCACAAATCATTTAAGGTTAAACAAAATCCGATCTACTTGTCTAATTTTTCAATGTTTCTCGCGTATGCATTCCGTACGTACAAATGATTAGATTAAATACCAGCATAAAAGTCTGAACAAATTGTGGCTTTGAAGAATTCAATGTGGCTTTGAAGAATTCAATGATTAGATTAAATAGAGTACTATATAAGCTCTTTGGTTCATTATGCCAATTCCATATTGTACGCCTTACTGGCTTTGAAGAAACAGGAGCTTAAAATGCATGGTAAAAAAGGATAGAAGCAACTATCTAACAGCTGGATTTCAAGGTTTTAAAGCAAATCACTCCACTCTTAGTTGCATAGATTTGGCAACAAAAGTAAGTGATTTGCTTAGGTCAGAAATAACAGTCAAACCTCTCAATATTTCGTAAAGGATTCATCAACGGGAGAAAGTGCCCCATTGAAAAAAATGATGATGACAATGGTTTATTGTAGTCCTAACTTACTTTCCAAATTAATACCTGATGGTTAATTTCACATATCTAGATATCAAATTTAAACCTTAAAAAATTCCACGTCAAACGTATGATCGTTTGCAATTGACTTTTTCATAAAAGATATGTACTTCTGTTTCCAGAATATACAGTCTGAATTTCAGCTCTCAATGCCAAAGCTTGCCAGCTTTAAGAGAAAATGATCTTCACCAAAGAAAATTAAATTGTTTCCAACCAGTAGACTATGCTATCAAGCATATATCTCTTTTGATATTGAAATCATCAAAACTTCCTAGCTCAGTTTTATTTTAAAGCTTCCCAGTGCCTAAAACAAGGCCCAGTGCCAAATAAACTTATTTTCCCTTTTCAAGACAACAATGAGCAATCAATGCAAGGCATCATGATCATTGTTATCTTTGACCTTCATTTTTTATATGCTTGACCATTTCTTGGAAGAAACTTCTATATACTCAATCTCAAGAGGGATACAAGAAATCAAGCTGCTGTGTTACCTGAAAATCTGTCCTTCCACAGCCACGTATGAGCAAGGCATCACCAGTGAAAGCCATCCTTGGATGAGGTTGATCAGGTCCTTCTCCAGTTACATATGTAACACAACCCAAAGTGTGACCAGGTGTTGCACGCACCTGTATAAGTTTAAGAACTTAATGTGTAGAAAGTAACCAGGTACGGAAATTTTCCAGTACTGAGCCAGTTCATAAATCTGCTGGTTCAGGACCACTGTCTAGAAGAAGTATACATTTTATGCATGAGATTTATGTATTTGATGATGACACAATATAGCATGTTAACTATGGAAAAGTTGTTAGGTTTCATTAACTTCTATCAATTTAACAAAAAATTATAGCCCATGTATGCTTAAGACCATTTGTCGATCAAAAATATTCCTAAAATTTAAGTTTCTTAGGTATTAATGTTATCCTTGGAGTTGCTTAGATGTCCATGGAAGAAATTTTTTGCTGACCCTTGTTGTCTAGGTAGTTAAATAGAGTTCACTGCATCTGTACCATAGCATGTGAAGCATGAACACAGACATTGGCATGATTTGATCGTACGATACGATGTGATCCATGTAGGTTATGTGATTGCTACTTCATGAATACAAATAAAACTATATGTGGACACAAGATGCACCAGAAGACCGATAACGATAGCAATACAACTCTATATGTGATCCAAGTAGGTTATGACATTGGCATGATTTGATCGTACGATGTGATCCAAGTAGGTTATGTGATTGCTACTTCACGAATACAAATAAAACTATATGTGGACACAAGATGCACCAGAAGACCGATAATGATAGCAATACAACTCTATATGGGTATGCAGGCTCATAAATCTTTAAAAAATAGACTAACGATACTTCTAGTAAGGCAATAAGAAAATTAATGTGGACTTGTTTTAATGTTCACATATCTCAGGATGAACTTTTGAGGTTAGAAACATAAAAAAGAGTGTAATGTTTAGCATATCATGTAACATTTTGAAGCTGCAGATCATCAGCTACAGGCATAGTCATATCTAGGACTTTAAAATCCTAAATAAGAAACTGGGTAAACTACTACATATATGTGAAGCATATAGGAAATAAAAAATAAAAAATAAAAAATAGTGAACCCATCAATCATACATTTGATTTTATTGCTGAATACCATAGAGATCTGTGATATGTCATCAATATATTTAGGATCCTTCACAAGTTTTAGAATAAATCAAAGAAACATTTGATTTTATTGCTGAATACCATAGATCTATGCTATGTCATCAATATATTTAGGATCCTTTACAAGTTTCAGTATAAGTCAAAGAAACATCTGACACCTAATCAACGAGTATCAAACTATCTGAGTAGGTTATGCAACTGATACTGTTTAAGCCCCTTTCATTAAACTACACATGAGAAAAAGATCACAGATTATTGCACGGGATCCAAACTGTATTCTTTTTTCTATATCATCATCATCAGGCAATGTGTGTAAGTACAGAATTGATCAAAGTTTACAGTACTCATTCGCACTTTATGAAATATATTCAAGCTCTAGGTAGACATACCTCTAGGAACAGGTTTCCGAAATGTATTTTGTCACCATGTTCAACCACATGATCTGCTTTTGCTTGGCTAGCTTTTGAAATGACAGACTTCACGCCAGGCATCTTGGTCTACAGAAAATGCCTCGTATCAGTGCATACTAAGAAGCTTTGGAAACTCAAACTAAAAGAGTAGAAATAACTGAAGTCACTGAACAAACAAATCTATAGCTATTCATATTAAAATGAGCCATTGAAGTCATTCGCTAAGCATTTAAGCAAAATCGAACCATAGAAGTGCAACCAACCTTTATTAAGCCCGTTCCGGTCACATGATCAGCATGCACATGGGTATTCATTGCATAGATGAGTTTCAAACCCAGGTCTCTAATAAGAGCTAAATCTCGGTCTGCTGTTTTGTCTACTGGATCAAGCAGCTGCAAAAGAAGATCAAATTTAACAAATCTAAATAACCTGAATCTGGGGCAGGCATAAAAATGCATGAGAATCTTGTGGACTACTGTGTGAGATATTATTATTATTATTATTATTATTATTATTATTAACATTTTGAACCTGCGACCACAAACCAATGTCTAAGTTATTAAGGCATTTAAAATTATTGAAAGATAAAAGTTAGAACAATGCCATTAACATCCCAAAATGACAAAAGCATCATCAATCAGTCTAGAACAGATAAAAAATCAAACTAAACGGCTTAACACAGGACAAAACCCCTAGAATTCACAAGAGAATTTTCTCATGAATGAGCATATTCAACGATTGGGTTCCGAGAAAACTAAAAGTTAGAACAAACTATTCTCTGAAAAAGTTTTGAAATTGGTCTTCAATTGAAACTTTGACATGAAATAGTCGATGATAGGCAGATAATTTGAGTGAAAAATTTCAAGTCCCATAACACATTTGCATGAATTAAGCTAATAATCGTCGTAAAAAATCAAATTTTTTTTACCACAGCGGGCTTTTGGGGGTGGCGGAGATCAGCAAGGAGATAAGTATAAGTCGACGATTCCTTCTCGAACAACTGCCGGAAAAGCAATCTCGACGCCGTGCTGTAAGGCGAAGCCGTTGCCGACGCTGCCTCAAATCTCATCGCTGATCTCCAAGGAGAAATTGAAGAGAAATAGTGAAGAGAATCACGAAGCAGAAGATGCTGATGGGATCGAAGAGACAGCATTTGCCCTTTTTCGGGGGTTCTCTTCTTCTTATTTTTTTTTCCGCTGGTTGAGTGAAACGTGAGGGGTTTATTTGGATATTTCTATTCGTCGTGGATCTCCGCTCTGCGTTATGGAGTGCCGCCGTGTGAGGGAGTCGCGCTGATTTGGTGACGGGCTAGCTAAATAAATATCAGAAAACCGCCCTAAACTTTGGGCGATTGCTAGCTTAACCCTCCATGACTTTCAAAATGTCAGAAAAAACCCCTTACGGGTGTTTGGCTGTTTGAAAGTGAATTGAAAACATGTAAGTTGCTTTTTTGTTTTTTTACAAATGACTTTCACATCCATATAAGTATGTGAGTGAAATATATTATTCGCTTAACAAACAAAATTATTGTTAAATGTGCAATGTGAAGATTACGTGATATAATAAGATTAATTAGTAAATGTATTTAAATTTTTTTAATCAAAATCTGTACTAACAGTGAAATAACAAATATAGGCTCAATCAAAATATAAGTTACTTTTTTGTTTTTTGGCAAATGACTTTCAAATCCATATAAGTATGGAAGTGAAATATATTGTTTGCTTACCAAACAAAATTATTGTTAAATGTGCAATGTGAAGATTATGTGATATAATAAGATTAATGAGTAAATGTATTTAAATTTTTTTAATCAAAATCTGTACAAACAGTGAAATAACAAATATAGGCTCAATCAAAATGTTGAATAACTACAATTTTCAACTTTAAAATGTATTATTATAGGAAGTTTAGGTTGTTTTCCTCAAAGCCGTTCTAAACTTTGTTTCTCAAATTAAACTCTCCTTACTTTACCAACGAATTCCCTGGCTTTATTTTTGTTGCCACACAAGTCAAAATTGGAGCTTCCGATCCTTGTCATTAATTATTTTAAAAAAAAATCAAAACCTCATGTATTTTCTGATGTTCAAGACTAAAAAAATCAAAATCAGTTGCTTCGCCTATTGGAAATTATAAAAAATTAAATTAATTTTTTCAAAAAATAGAAGCATTAAAACGAAAATACGTTTCGATGTTCAAGACTAACGGTGTTTAAAATTGGGGGCCTATGTCGAAAAAGTTTAGGGGCTTAGTAAGGGAAAAAAACAAAATCGGGGGTTTAGAATAGTGGCACACGAATTCGGGGAGTTTTTGAAATTTAGGAACTGTTTGTTTGTATAAGGGGAAGGGGAAAGCTTGTCAAAAGTGATAGTTTTAACAGGTTTTTTTTATAAGAAAACCCGTCAAAACTGACACTTTGATAGGCTTTCAACTCATTTCCCCCTCTAAAAGAAGGGAAGCGACGTGCCCTTACCGTGTTGTTCATAGCCAATAAGTTATTATGACAGGTTTTAACAGGTTTTTTTATAAGAAAACCCGTCAAAACTGACACTTTGATAGGCTTTCAACTCATTTCCCCCTCTAAAAGAAGGGAAGCGACGTGCCCTTACCGTGTTGTTCATAGCCAATAAGTTATTATGACCCATCGGTTATTATCCTACTGGAAAAAATTAAACTAATAATTACTTTTAAAGGCGAGCGATAATAGGTATTAAAGGACTAAGGTAATCAAGTAAATGTACCAGCGCTGGTTTCTCGGGGTGACCGACGTCGGCGAGGAGGTAAGTATAAGTGCAGGATTCCTTCTCGAACAGTTGCCTGAAGAGCAATCTTGGTGTAGATTCCGTCGCCATTGTTCCCATTAATCTCACCGCTGACGCAGTTGATCCTAATGGCCTGCTTCTTGTTATTAAAGAGGAGGAGGAGGAGGAAGAAGAAGAAGAAGAAAGAGACGTAGGAATGAAACTGAGTCGACAATGACGAAGCAACTGATGATGCAACCTAAGACTCGGCATTTTCTCCCTCGTTCTGTGGGCTTGCTTTTCTCGCTCGGAACGGAACGAGGGGGGGAAAAACTGCCAGGGGCATTATTGGAATGTATAAATTATTTCTGGATCAGTCTCTAAATAGAGGTGCAAAAGGATAGGGACATGGTTCTTACCATGACCGAGTACAATCACGGATAAGAATATGAATTTAGACAAAATTTGGCAAAAAGATAACAAATACCTATACTCAGCCAAAACAGGGGCGGATTTAGGCTCCCAAATAAATAAATAAATAAAAGAACTTACAAATCGCAGTTGCACCCCGTAAATTTTAAAAAATGCACTCCAATATATCTAAAAACACTAAATAAATTAGTAGCAAATTGGATTAGCCCAATTAAATTATACTTATTACAATACCGTTAGGTCTTATAGTTTCATGATAGTATAATTTTATTATTTCGATAACTAGATACTTGTTTTTCATAAACTATACTGATTAGTTATCTTTTAAAATAGCCGGGGTCGACAACTGTCACTATTTTGAAATGCAATTTCAGTCTTCCTTACTAACTCATGTAATTAAAATAGTGTCTGATTAGTTAGGGTTGACAATTCTGACTAATTAGAAAGAAACGGTTTTTCAATATCGACCGAGTTGCAACCTACACTGCTGATGTGATCGAAACTGGATCGATTTTATAAATAAGTTTGAAATGGACCGATTTTGAAGAATAAAATTATAAATAAGCCTATTTTAAAAATTTCTCCACGATCCGAATCGAATGAGATCACTCAAACCACTTCTGGTCAAATATATTCATAATGCATTTTATTGTTTATTAGACAGCTATTGGTTTAAATATGAAGAATATATTTGGAGTAATGGTATCCATATCCAAATACTTCGAGAGCGGACAAAATGAGATCACCAGCTGTTTTCGCAACAGTCTGAAATTGTTTTAGTGGGGTAGAGTCTCACGCTACTTTTATTTAAATCCGGTTATCCTCTCCACTCAAATTCAAGTTTAAAGCTATATATCATGGGATTAGCTTGTGTGAAAGCCTTATTAGTTGCCTGTGATTGATGATAAGGCAAGCACTGCATAGTTGGGGTGGCTTCGCCGTCACTTTCCATAACTTGATGTCACAACAAACCTGTGGGCGTTACACACAGCAACAACAACAAAAAGTTGTGGGCTGATAGAGGGGCCGAAAGAGGGGCCAAGTTGGCCCATGCTATCAATCATTCTCTGATTTTGACACAACGAAACCTAGGCCGTTTTGCTAGAGTAGTGTTATATGCCCTTAAACATCCAATACATTTTTTATTGATTATTAATTGAGTTTATTATTGCACATGTTGTTTGGGTATCTTTTTATATAATTGTTATATTATCCTTAGAGATTATTTTGTTAGATTATGCAATATGATAGTCACTTGCTTGGAGATATGATCTAATTCAGAGATTTCTTAAATTTGTGCTTAACCTATAACTAGTAAAGGATAGCTTAGTTATGACAGGTTATTATGCATGACAACGACATATTAGATGTGATGGTTGATCTCAGCTATCGGAAATGAAGATTCCCCGGGTGTATGTCATAAGCGCATATTTGATATGTGTAGCGCAAGACCTTATTTGGATTCTCTAGGACGAGTCACCTAAGAGAGAGAGAATCCAAATTGTTACATGGTCCCTTAGACTTGATGATATTATCATTATCCCATATTATGGAAGAGCTTTTATGAACAGTTGGTCGGATAGGGATTTGATTGTTAAATTAAAATTATTAATTTGATTAATAATTGGTTCTCGATATGGGACCCAATTGGTCTCACTAATGTCATTAGAAGAGGTATACATACAATGCAATTCTAATTCTATCCTTAATTGTTATGGATAAAGTTTTTGAACAAATCTATTTCTATCCTAATTGTTATGGATAAAGTTTTTGAACAAATCTATTTCTATCCTAATTGTTATGGATAAAGTTTTTGAACAAATCTATTTCTATCCTAATTGTTATGGATAAAGTTTTTGAACAAATCTATTTCTATCCTAATTGTTATGGATAAAGTTTTTGAACAAATCTATTTCTATCCTAATTGTTATGGAAAGAATATTCTATCTTTAAATATTATGGATAGGGTTTTAAACAATTAAGAATTGTTTTGAAATTAAATCCATAAGGCAGATCCAATCCTATATATAGGGCTCATATGTAGCCTCAAAAAAGATGAGAAAAAGAAATAGATTTTGAGAACATATCTCTCTGTATTGTTCCTCTTCGGCGACGGGTGGATTCAGTTGGAGGTTTTTTCTCTTGAGAAAGCTATTGCTCTTGGGACTGATTATCAAATAAATTCAGAAAGCGTTTCAGGTATTTTTCTAGATTTTAATTAATTTTGATTAATCTACAAGATATGCATTTTTCCGATGTATTGTATATTATGTTTCCAACAATTGGTATCAGAGCGGGTTTAGAATCCAATCTGTAATAATTTAATTAGATTTAAAAAAAAAATCGGGTTGCTGTTCATCGGGTAATGGTACTGTTCATCGGCGGTACTGTTCATCATCGAAATTACTGTTCTTGCCGGAAATACTGTTCACGGCCGGAGGGTTACTGTTCATGATCTGAAATCGTTGTTTGTAATAATTGGTTATTGTTTATGGGTTAAAATTCTTATGATTAGATCAAAGAATTTTCCTTTTTTAATTATTGTAATATTTGGGTTCTTGTTAGATTTGATCTAAATAGAGTTTTTTAGATTGTTATATTTTCTTTATCAATGGAGTTGTGGTCTATTGGATGGGAGGCGGAGGTAGAGATGGCCGGAGTTTGAGATTTGATCTCACAAAAAAAAAAAGATGTTCGCCGAAGATATGATCGTCGGAGATGGGCCGCCGGTGAGGTTGCCCCGCCGGCCGCGGTGGGCTCGCCGCGCCGCCGCCGTCGCCACCGCCGCCGCCCCAATGGTGGTGGCGGGCCATCCCTCTAACCTAGACAAACCCTAACCCTAATCTTCATGGAAGAAGATGATCTTAATGGGTTATTTTTTTCATAAATGGTTATGTATCCAAACCCATTAAGACTTAAGTTTAATGAAACGGGTTTGACCCGCAAACAGTACCCAAACCCGAAACCCTGATGATTTGAGTTTTACTGTAAAATTATTATTAGACCCCTGTTTGACCCAGAAACTGTTCTGAAGTCCACCAGTATTGATTTTTTGCTGTAAAATTAGTTTCAGCCCCCTGTTTAAACCAGAAACTGTTCTGGAACCCATCTGAAAGAAGTGATTATTTTTTTATTAACCCTTAAGAGCTGCATAAACTGTTCTGAAGCCCACATACATGTATAATTTATTTTCTAATGTTGAAAAGATTATTTAACTCTTATTGATTGATAATGTATCATTGTATTTTTGAAATACTTATTTAAATTATGCATGTAACATGGTTGCATTATTTTTAAATTGTTTAATTTTAATTTTTCATGAGATTAAAGTAATACATGGAAAATTATTAATAGGTCCAGAATTGTTCTGAATTTTCTCTTTTAAATAAAACAGTTTAGAATTTATTAGAAATTGACTGTTGTTATTTTCTCTCAATTATAATACATAACAAAAGTTGTATAGAAGTGTAGATAGATTAATATTTAAGAAATATAAATCTAAAGGTCTTCCATCATAAAGATATAACTTAGATAATAATATTTTAGCTTATCTGATGCCACAAAGGATAGGGTTTGTTAAAATTGATTATCTAGTTATATCTTACATAAGGATGCCAAGTATTTTATGTATAATGGGACCACTAGACTAAAATAGGTAGTGCCACCTGTTTTATATAAGATAGCTGGATTGATGGGTAAACACTTCATTGATGTCTTGGGATGCTTGCTAAAATAGTAGAGTCATGTCATACATCAAAGACCAAAATTAAAGGAAAGTCATTAATTGTTAATGATTGAATAGACTGATTCTACCTTGTTTAATTATATTCGATCTTGAAAATCTGGAGGTTTATAATTAAGCTTGGATTTCCTGTTCATATTTTTTTTTGTATGAAAGAAACATATTAATGTGAATATCATTACTTAAATTATCCCTAGTAATGATTGTGCAATAATAAAATGTAAAATTAATATTCTTATGTTATTATGTTCTGCTTGTGTAGGATGACTAAGTTTAGTCCTTTTGCTAAGCTTCTTGATGACTATAAACTGACTGGCCCAAATTATGTGGATTGGAAAAGAAATTTGTTTATCGTCCTTACTGCTGAAAAATTGGCAAAAGTTGTCAAAGAGGACGAACCTGCTGAACCTAGTCCTGATGCAACAGAATATGTTGCAAAGTGCTATATTATGGCTTCCTTAGACCCTACTTTACAAAAGCAACATGAAGGAAAGAAGACTTGCAAGGAGATCTTGGAAAGCCTTAAGGCTTTGTACGAAGAACGTAATCGTACTGCACGTCAAAACGCTATGAGTGGTTTGATGAACACCAAGATGGCTGAAGGTACACCAGTTCAGGCCCACGTTCATAAGATGATTGGGTACATAAATGAATTGGAATCCTTGGGAGCCGAGCTGGACAATGAATCAAAAGTTAATGCAATTCTTGCTTCACTTGCTTGATCCTTTAATCAATTCAAAGTGAATTTTAGTATTCAAGAACCAAATCTCACATTGCCAGAACTAAGCAATATGTTGCAGAGGGTTGAGGATATTATGAAGTAAGATAAAGCCATAGTGATGGTTACAGAAGCTGCTAGGCCGTCTAACTTTAAGAAATGAAAGTTTTCTTATAAGAAAAAGCCAGCAAAAGGAAAGAAAGTTTCCAAGAAAGAAAAGAGGGATCAGACTGGTGATGAATGCTTCTTTTGTAACAAGAAGGACGCGGTGGTTTTTGGAAATTATTTTTCTAAATTTATTTTATTATAAAATAAAAATATTTTTGATGTTTCAAAAATGGTTTTTATTTATGATCATGGGATTGCAATTTTAGAATGAGCAAGTAGGTGATTTGTCCTGCTCAAATAAAGTTTCCTAAAACAAATTGCATACTGGAGGGGACTGAAATGTAAGATAATATTAACTTCATGAAATATTTAATCCCATATTAGGAAGAGCTTTTTATGAAGCAGTTGTCGGGATAGGAATTTGATTGTTAAATTAAATTAATTATATTTGATTAATAATTGGTTCTCGATATGGGACCCAATTGGCTCTCACTAATGCAGTTAGAAGAGGTAACATACAATGGCAATTCTAATTTTATCCATTAATTGTTATGGATAAACGTTTTTGAACAAAATCTATTTCTATGCCTAATTGTTATGGATAAAGTTTGAACAAATCTATTCTATCCTAATTGTTATGGAAAGAATATTCTTATCTTTAAATATTATGGATAGGGTTTTAAACAATTAAGAATTGTTTTGAAATTAAAATCCATAAGGCAGATCCAATCCTATATATAGGGGCTCATATGTAGTCCTCAAAAAAGATGAGAAAAGAATATAGATTTTGAGAACATATCCTCTGTATTGTTGCGCTGCTTCGCGACGGGTGATTCAAGTTGAGGTTTTTCTCTTGGAGAACAAGCTATTGCTCTTGGGACTGATTATCAATAAATTCAGAAATGGCGTTTCAGGTAATTGTTTCTAGATTTAATTAATTGCTAGAGTAGTGTTATATGCCCCTTAAACATCCAATACATTTTTTATTGATTATTAATTGAGTTTATTATTGCACATGTTGTTTGGGTATCTTTTTATATAATTGTTATATTATCCTTAGAGATTATTTTGTTAGATCATGCAATGTGATGGTCACTTGCTTGGAGATATGATCTAATTCAGAGATTTCTTAAATTTGTGCTTAACCTATAACTAGTAAAGGATAGCTTAGTTATGACAGGTTATTATGCATGACAACGACATATTAGATGTGATGGTTGATCTCAGCTATCGGAAATGAAGATTCCCCGGGTGTATGTCATAAGCGCATATTTGATATGTGTAGCGCAAGACCTTATTTGGATTCTCTAGGACGAGTCACCTAAGAGAGAGAGAATCCAAATTGTTACTGTGTAGCACTAGACCGTATTTGAATTCTCTAGGATGAGTCACCTAAGAGATAGAGAGTTCAAATTGTTACATGGTCCCTTTGACTTGATGATATTATCATTTTCGATTTGATAATCTAATATACTTTGATATGATGGTTAAGCTTGTTTTACAAGTGTTATACAGCCTGAAATATTGGGTTATTAGATTTTATTTAGGGAAATGATGGATATCTAGATAGAATCCGGTATACTCATTTTTATGAGTTAATTTATTATGCATATCCCATGAATATATTAAATTCCCGTCGACGGGTGGTTTTTGAAAATTATTTTTCTAAATTTATTTTATTATAAAATAAAATATTTTTGATGTTTCAAAAATGGTTTTTATTTATGATCATGGGATTGCAATTTTAGGAATGAGCAAGTAGGTGATTTGTCCTGCTCAATAAAGTTTCCTAAAATCAATTGATACTGGAGGGGACTGAATGTAAGATAATATTATTCATGAATATTTAATCCCATATTATGGAAGAGCTTTTATGAACAGTTGATCGGATAGGGATTTGATTGTTAAATTAAAATTATTAATTTGATTAATAATTGGTTCTCGATATGGGACCCAATTGGTCTCACTAATGTCATTAGAAGAGGTATACATACAATGCAATTCTAATTTTATCCTTAATTGTTATGGATAAAGTTTTTGAACAAATCTATTTCTATCCTAATTGTTATGGAAAGAATATTCTATCTTTAAATATTATGGATAAGAGTTTTAAACAATTAAGAATTGTTTTGAAATTAAATCCATAAGGCAGATCCAATCCTATATATAGGGCTCATATGTAGCCTCAAAAAAGATGAGAAAAAGAAATAGATTTTGAGAACCTATCTCTCTGTATTGTTCCTCTTCAGCGACGAGTGGATTCAGTTGGAGGTTTTTCTCTTGAGAAAGCTATTGCTCTTGGGACTGATTATCAAAGAAATTCAGAAAGCGTTTCAGGTATTTTTCTAGATTTTAATTAATTTTGATTAATCTACATGATATGCATTTTTCCGCTGTATTGTATATTATGTTTCCAACAAGTTTTTGGTGTACAGGGTGGTGGGCTCGTGGCAGTTTCACAAGGGAAGACACTAGAGGCACACTCTCGGCTATACCCTTCTTTTATCTACAGTGTAGGAGGTCCCATTTGAGATTTTTAAAAAATCTCAAATGGAACCCTCTGCACTGTAGATAGAGGGGGGTGTGGCCGGAGGTGTGACTGAAGGTATGTCTCTATCATTTCTCTTTCACAAAACTGGTTTCATTGAATATAATATTGTTAAATTAGTTATTAGTTTGATAGTTTCACAAAAACTAGCCATAGTGGAACCAGTTCTCTAGATTTTGACATTTAAATCATTTTTCTTTTGAACCACACCTAGTTGCACTAACTCCGACCTGGTTAGAAAAAAACCAGCCTTGGCCTGGTCTTTTTTTTAGAGTTGCTAAACACGCTCCAGTTAAGTTAAATTAACATGTAAAGTGGTAATATTATTGATTTTTTTTTTTAGAAAGGAAATTAAAATTTTGTTGGCCAAAGCCCAAAGGTGGTCCAACTCCAAACCTAGTTTTGCAAGTTTACTTTTGAACCCTTAAACCATGTTTAGGATTGATCCATTCTTCTGCATGGATCAGAATTGAACTTTTTAAGTCTTAACCAAATTAATGGAAAGTTGTCAAATACAACCGCTGCTCCCCTTCTTAGGCTCATTCATTCCACCACAAGCTCAGGATATACCTACATAATTGATAAAGATAATATGATGAGCCTAGATGTGTTTTTGTGTGTGAAATTTTTGAGTGAGACTGACATACTCTAAGGAGAAATTTTTAAAATAGGCCAATTTTGCTAAATATTTAACAAAACCAACCGTTTTGCTAAATATTTAGCAAAACCGACCTCTTTTTTGTCAGCTTAACAAAGCTAACCAAAAAGAGGTCGGTTTCGTTGAAACCTATGATCGAAACATAATAGTCCTATGTGTCTAGCGGCTACTAATCGCCCTTTAAACAAATTGGTAAAACCTCACTGTTTCTTTTTCTGCACAGTAACAACCCTCCTTTCCCTTTGTTTGGAAATCTACAACTTTAGCTTTGCCCTTGAAACTCGAAATAACAATCTCCTTAAACCCGCACTTAAGATTCATCGACAAATCAACCCAAACTCCACTGGTGACGCTGATTCTTGGCCCACCGTTGGCCGCCGAGCCATCAGCGAGAACATGGTCGACAATCTGAGATGAGAGCGCGATGAGATCGCCGAAGGATTTTGATCAGAGGAGGGAGAGGATTTGGTCGAGGGTGGGGGTCCTTCAATCCGGCAACAATCAGAGTGAAGATCGCGTAGAGGGTGGGGGGAGAGAGGGCAAAGTTGGTGCCGACGGTGATGGTGGACCCCACGTGCTTTAAAAGGCTGAGGACGAAGTCGGTTTGTTCGAGATTGATTCTCTCATGTCCATTTTTGATTTTTTTTTTCAAGAATTTTGAGGGTTGAGGAAAGTTAGAGCGTAAAGAAGGACGCGGAAATGAATGAAGAAGAAGATGGTGGTGGTGATGGAGGGAGAGTCGGAGAGGGGGAAGAAGAAGAAGAAGATGATGGTGGTGGTAATGGAGGGAAAGTGGGGTTGTTACTATGCAGAAAAAAACCTACGGGAACTACTAGTCCCGTGGGTTTTTCTGGATTTGTTTTTAGGGGGAGATTAGTGGCCACTAAACACCCGTGACTACTAGTCCAGCATATTTCGAAAATAGATTTTATCAAAACCGACCTCTTTTGGATCAGCATGATGAGCTGGCCAAAAAACCAATGTGACTAAAAAGATGTCGGTTTTGCTAAATGTTTAGCAAAACGGTCAATTTTGCTTAATATTTATCAAAAATGACATATTTTAAAAAATTCTCCAAACCTCTAATTGGATAGGTAAATTCAAGCTATTTTCATCGCAAAAACAAGATCCAAATTTAATCTGTTGATATAAGGGACCAACTCCATACTCACTTTACTATGATCCAATACATCGAAGAAGAAAAAAAAGGATCTAATCCGTAATAGCCCCTACAACAATCTGGATGAGTTATTTTAATTGGTTGATGTTGATGTTAAATGATTACACGATCAATTATGTCCAGGATCGAAGAATTTTGTTCAGTATTGAAGAAGGGGAGGCTTTCTTCCCTAACTTTATGTTTGGTTCTTTGAGTTGGGTATATGAAAAATTAGCATAGGTAGAAATTCGTAAGAGGGTGGGGTTTGGTTCCCCCGTTGTACCTCCGACGATCAAGTTAGCTGATGAACTTGAATGAAGTTTATAAGAATTATGATAATTCTTGTGTGTGCAGTTTTATGTGCAAAATCGGAGAATCCGGTTCCAAAAACAGAATTAGCGGTCTGACGCAAGTTGAAATAGTACCTATATTTATATTAAGGTGGCGAGGGTAAATTGGTCACTTTGATCGAGAGCAGAGAGACTGTGACAAAGTATGGGTTGGCGGCCACGTCGGCACTTGCTTTATAGG